GTTGCAGAATCTTCAGAGCCCGCTCTCAGATTCCTCCTCCTCACGGACATTTATGCAGCACCTGCTGTGTGCCAGCCGTTCTCCAAAAGCTCCGCATGTATTCACTTAACTCTCACACTGTCGTACCCACATTACCCAGACCCCGCGCCTGGGAAGTGGCCATCAGGCTTCTATCCAGCAACACAGCCCCAGCATCCACACCCCTCGTCTGGACCACCAGGCACATGGCCTCTCCGCAGACCACTCACCCGACCTCAGGGCTCACCTTCTCCACAGCCTGTCCAGCGCTCACCTTCACACCCTGCCGAGCTCCACGGCCCACGATAGCACAGTCCCCGCCTCTGTGCAGCCATTCGGGGCGTGCCGTGGGGCCCAGGGGAGCGGGTTGGCTCCGTCTCCCCAGCACCCAGCGCAGGGGGTAGGCATTAAAGCCGTAAGTCCGGAAGAGAGAGTGGTCTGAGCCCGTGCCCGGGTGAATGCGCAGAGGCTGGTCTTGCAGGGCTGGGGGCAGCCAGCACCCACCGGGCGCGGGGCCACAGCTTGGGGACCGTTCGCTGTGGTCTGGCCGCAGAAGTGATGTTTGGCAACAGAAACCTGTGGGGAACACCGTCTCAGAAAGCCAGTCTATGGCTTGGTGGGTCCTGTTGTTGATCTGACGGGATGCCATCACTCTGGGGGCAGGTACAGGAAACCCAGACTCCCCACGTGGTGCCAGCCTCTCTGCAGCCTCTTCCAGGCCACCTGTGCCCCCAGCCCCCTCCTCGCCCCCACACAGCTCCCCACAACATCATCTTTAACCCTGACTGCGGCTCTCGGCCTGCTCTGGTGAGCCCAGCAGGACGGCCCCCAGGGCTGGCGTGACCCTGCCCCGGATGTGGGTGGTGAGCTTCACAACAACATTCCTGCCAGTGATGTCCCACTCTTCCCTTTGAGAGCTCATCCTCAACTAGGATGATTTGTGGTTTAGCAGGGCTGTGATTAACATGTTTAGATTACTGATCAAACATGCTTCCTAAGAAGTGAATTAGAACGTCTCCTGCTGATGTCCTCTTGAAGCCGGTCCCCTCAAGCATGACTCTGAAGTGTAATCCATTTAGAGGTTTGAAAAAACTTGACAACAACTGAGCTGATGTTCATTGTCTGGTTACTTAGAGACCAGTAACAAATACATGGGAGGAGGAAATGGCAACCCACTCCAGTGTTCTTCCCTGGGAATCCCCTGGACCAAGGAGCCTGATGGGCTACATTCGCAAGGTCTTCGAGTTGGACACGACTAATGAACAACAAATACGTTAGGACTATGAACGTTGTCACAGAGGAGCTGTTGGGATGAGATGGCTGAGCGTCAGGAACAACCCGCTAGGCTGCACAGTGCTGACATCAGGACCCACGGTGGTTACTTGGGGCCCCCCTCTTCGTCACTTGACCACCTCAAAACACGCCCCTCCTTCCAGGCCTGCTGTGACAGCTGCAGCCCTAGAGACTGAGCTCCACGCACACAAGCCCCTCACCAAATCCCCCAAGTTTCACTGGTATCCTGGGGCCTTGGCAATGCCAAAGATGGCCTTGTCCCCCACTGGCAACCTTGGCAACGTAAAATTCCCTTCAGAAATCCCCATATTTACCAGGCGCATGCAGGAGGAAGGGAGTGGGATTTAGGGGTTTATTCGCCTTTCATCAGAAATGGCTCGTTTCACAAGGAACAAGCTGGGAGTCAGCTCATGGCCATCCTGTGACCACACATCTCACCCTCAGCTGCACCAGAGAATTTGCAGGGGTTGGGGGGAGGTGGTTTGCAAATCCCAAGGCCTGGCCACTCCCCAGGTGCAACCCCCCAGTCTCTGGGGAGGGACCCAGGTGTCAGAGATCTTTTATTTTTTTTGCTATATCACTTGTGGGATCTCAGTTCCCCAATCAGGGACTGAACCCGTGCCCCCTGCATCAGAATCACAGTGTCAACCACCAGGCCTCCAGGAAGTCCTGAGATTTTTAAGCTCGCCCATTGACTAAGGTGCTGCCAATCTGGGCCCTGCCCGAGGTAGCCCAGATGGCAGCAGGAATGTGGCACAGCCTGCTGAAACAAGACCTCCTTGTTCCCTGTGCTGGGGCCACATTCCCCGAGGAGTTCCAATTAGCTACATTCACCTGTGACTATTTTTCCACAACAAATTCTGCCTGCAGAGATGTCATTTAATTATCAAAAAACACACCCCGATGTGTGATCTAAGGCATCCATCTGAGGATGCAGCCGGCATCCTGTGCTTTTCAGAGCTGTAAGAATCGGTGTGGCTTTTGTCCCCGCCTGCTACTTTGGGAGCTTATTTTTCAAGCGTTGCAATCCTCTAAGATATGAGCTAAGAATTCTTACTAAATCAAAATACTGTGTAGGTATTTGTGAGTATAAATGTGGAAAATGTCATTTAAAAATAATTTTTAAAAAACATCTTCTTTAAAACTGTCTTTTGTTTTAAAAACAATCTTAATAAAATACCTAGAAATAAACCTACATAAGGAGGCAAAAGATCTGTACTTGGAAACCTATAAGATACTGATGAAAGAAATTGAAGATGACACAGATGAAAAATGTGTTCTTGGATTGGAAGAATGAATATTGTCAAAATGACCATACGACCCAAGATAATCTACAGATTGAATGCAATTCCAGCAAATTACCAATGGCATTTTTCACAAAACTAGAAAAAAAGATTTTAAATTTGTATGGAAGCTTGTACACATATTCTTTTACTCTGTATAGTCAAAGCAGTCTTGAGAAAGAAAAGCAGAGCTGGACAAAGCAGGCTCTCTGACTTCAGACTAGCCTACAAAGCCACAGTCATCAAAACAGTGTGGTACTGGCACAAAAGCAGCTATCAGTGGGCTGGGAAGGAAATAAGCCCACACAGCTATGGCCACTTAACCTACGTGGAAGGAGGCAAGGGCGCACAGCGCAGGGAAGAGAAGCTCGCCCATACGCAGCGCTGGGACAGCCGGACAGCCACGCTTAGAAGGGTGCAGTCAGGACCTTCTCTACCTCCACACACAGCCGGACAGCCACGCTTAGAAGGGTGCAATCAGGACCTTCTCTAACTCCACACACAGAAGTAAACTCAAAATGGATTAGAGACCTAAACATGTAACCAGACACTACTAATATAAAACTAGAGGAAAATATAGGCTGGACACTCTGACATAAATCACAGCAAGACCTTTTTGGATCCACCTCCTAGTCAGAGATAGATAAAAATAAAGAAATGGGACCTAATGTCATGAAAAAGCTTTGCACAGCAAAGGAAACCATAAGTACAACAAAAAGACAACCTACAGAATGGGTGAAGATACTTGCTAAATGATGCTACCAACAAGGGATTAATTTCTAAAATACACACACAGCTCAATTAAAAAAACAAACAAACAGACCAGCTTAAAAAACAACAAAAAAAATGGGTTCAAGACCTAAACAGACAATTCTCCAAAAAAGACATAAAGATGGTTAAGAGGCACATGAAAAGATGCTCAACATTGCTAATTATTAGAGAAATGCAAATCAAAACTACAATGAGATATCACCTCACACCTGTCAGAATGGCCATCATCAAAGTCAAGAAATAATAAATGCCAGAGAGGGTGTGGAACATCCTACACTGTCGGTGGGAATGTAAATTGGTGAAGCCACGACAGAGAACAGTAGGGAGGGCCCTTAAAAAACTAAAAACAGAGCTACCATACAATTCTGGAGTTCCATTCCTCGGCTCATATCCAGAGAAAACCAAATTCAAAATGATACATGTACCCAAGTGTTCACTGCAGCACTATTCACAATAGGCAAGACAGGAAGCAACCTAAATGTCCACTGGTAGATAAACGGATAAAGAAGATGTGGTACATATACACGATGGAATATTACTCAGCATAAGAAAGGATGAAATAATGCCATTCACAGCAACATGGATGGACCTAGAGATTATCATACTGAGTGAAGTAAGTCAGAGAAAAACAAGTATCATGTGATATTGCTTATATGTGGAATCTTAAACAAAAATGATACAAATGAACTTACCTATGAGACAGTACAAATTAGGAGTTTGGGATTAACATATACACACCACTGTATACAAAAGAGATAACCAACAAGGATCTACTGTTTAGCACAAGGAGCTCTACTCAGTACTTTGTAATCACCTATAAAAGAAAAGAATCTGATTGTGTGTGTGTGTGGGTGTATAACTGAAATACAGACTATCTTCTCTTTGAACAGTCTTCATCCTTTATCGTAAGCTCTGGGGCTTAGGCTCGGAAGTTTGCTCATAAAAGGAAAATGTGCAATGTGACTGTGTTAGGATTTTCAATTCTGCCCTATTAAATTACATTTAAAATGTGTTTTATTTTAGCAAATTTGCACACAGATAAAAAGATAAATAAAAATAAATAAAAATGTATCTGCACACAGATCAATTATTTGCACACTGAATAATTTACTTAAAAAGCTTGGCGGCATGCTGAGTAATCGACGTGGGGCTTTTTGTTTGAAAAAGGTACTGTCTCCCCCACCCTGGGGCGACGGGGGTGCCCTGACCGACCTGGTGGCCCTTGAATCCCGCTTTCATCTTCTTTGTACAAGTGACACGAAAGCAGAGCGAGCTCAGCTGGCTCCTCCTGCTGCTGCCAGGAGTTCAGGGACTCAGGAAACAGGACCAGGGGACCAGGGGTCGGGGTGTCCGGGCACCAGGTTGGGACTCTTCAGCGTGACGTCAAGAAAGACTGGTACTCACAATGCACTGAACTCATAGGTGATTTATTGCTTTAAGTAACTAAACAAGAAAGAGGAGAGACAGGCTGCTGGGCACGTCAGTCGGCACTCTCTCTCCACGCTTTGCAGCTGCATCTACTTAGAGCCTCCACAGTATTTTCTGGACGACATAAACACATCATAACACGCGTGGGAAGTGACCTGGCCAAGGACACGCTGATTACAGTAACACGCAACAGAGGCTCCCCACCAGTCAGCTGGCCCTGAAACAACAGCACCAAGGTGTGTTCCTAGGGTGTGCTGAAGACAAAACCTTAAATGTTTTTTTGGCATTAATACGAACACAGAATACTTTCATGGACATTCTGCCGAAGTGGGTACACGCACAGAATTCCCTCTGCGTTTCCAGATCACCAGTATCTATGGGAACACTTAGAGAAAAGCCAGGAGGCGAGGCACCTCCCCTCCCAATGTCACGTTCTTTGCCAAAGCAGCAGGGTCCAGGGGTTAGACAGAGGAAAGCGGTGGCCGGGCTCCAGGGCGTGTTACAAGCACCCAGAAGCTGCAGCGACAGTAGGGGCTGGACCCCCATCTCTGGGCGGGGGCTGGGGGCGGCGACCACGTCCGCCTTGACTGGCAGCCAGGCAGGCCCGGGGGTTTGGCCTGAGGCTCCCTGGAGACCGTGGGTGGTGCAGCCCCTCCAGGAGCGGTAAGAGTCAGGGCTGGACTCCCAGCCCCGAGGTCTAGAAGCGACCCGCCCTCCTGGGTCTGGAGCCCAGGACACATTTCAAAAGGATGTGCAGAAACCAACGCTGCCGGGGACCCGGCCCTCCTCAGAGGGCTCACTAATCTCACCACGAGGGGTCACGCCAAGCCAAAGGTAACGCGCCATGCGCCCCCAGCCCGCCGGCCCAGCAAGACTCAGGGGCGCTCGGCTGCCGCGGGCCCCGGAGCCACCCGCGCGGAAACCCCCGCGCAGGCATCCTCTCCAGGCTCAGCATCCTCTCCAGGCTCGGAGCGGGGGCGCCCCGCGCTGCCCCCCACCGGGGCCGGGCTGGGGCCCGCGGGGCCGTTCTGCATAGCCTCGCCCTCTACACACGACCGTCCGTCCGGACACGGCTTCTCCGCGGGGCCCTCCGCCCAGCCGGGGGCCGCCCCTTCCGCGGAGGCCCAGTCCTCCCGCCCGGGCGCACGGCTCCCCGCGTCTCCCGCTCTGGGAAGCTGCTCTTCTGGGTTCTTCTCGCTTTCTTCAGCTTGCCGCTTGCCCCTGGCACGGAGCTTCCCTCTGGATTTCCTCGTCTGCCTGTTACGCATCTCGTCTCGGGAGAATCGCCACTGAAACTAGAGATCGGGGGAGAAGGGAGATAAATACATACAGCTTCCGTGACCCCGGAGCATCCCTGGACATGAACTCTGCGTTCACACCCACGTCTGGCAGCCAGACACACAAGGCCTGCTATTCCCCAACCACGGCCCAAACCTCGCACCCACTGGGAGCCGGCAGTTCCTGCCACAGCATGGCTCTAGGGGTGAATTTCCGGGGAGAGGGCCCCATACAAAAGGCCTGGGAAGGGAGGTGCTGAAACCCTGTCATCTGGAGAAGCAGGAGGGTGCAGGCACACGGGCCTGCTCTTCCTCAGGGTATCACCCGGCTCAGAACCTGGGCACTCAGGTCCCCCTGCAGGACTGGCAGGCAGTGCCAGCCGCCAGCCGCACCCCGCTCTGCTAGAGAGCCCCCCCAAAGCCTTCACTCCCTTCCGGGCCAAGCAACGCCCAATGACCAGGCCATGTGGGGCAACGGCCCATCCTCCTGGTCCCCCCAGCACTGGTCAGGTCAGTGCGGTCGCCGTGAGGGAGCCCAGCCCGCCCTCAGCCGCGCCCCCTTCCCCACAGGCGTTCCCACAGCACTCCCCCTGAAACCCCATCCAAACCCACCCCAGCTGCCGCTTCCCAGGGAGCCCCACGCTGCGCTCCCTGTGGGCAGGGGGGTCCACGGAGCGGAGAGGCCCAAGGGCACAGCCAGCGCCAGGGCTGGACAAGGACGGGGTCACGGGGACGCCGCGGAGGGGGACTGCCCAGGGCGGAGCCCACCCAGCTCGGCCGCGTGCTAATCTATACGACAGGGGAGTTCCTCTAACTTAAATCGGGGCGGTGCCTCTATCTGCACCCAGTCAGATAGTAAGGACTTTAGGTTTTTCAGGCCACGTGTTCTCTGTTGCAGCCTCTCCGCTCTGCTATTGTAGCGCAAAAGCAGTCACAGGTAATAATACATAAACGGACGTCACCGTGTTCCAATAAAACTTTATCGACAACATCAGGCATGGGCCGGCCCCTTTTGGACCGAGAGCCGCAGTGAGCCAAGCTCTGCCGTAGAAGGTGTTCACGTCCATTTGATGATGCGACAATCCACGTGTCAGGCTTAGCGCTGCATCCAGCACATGATGCACCAGGTGTGTTCACCGTGACTGACGCTGCATGTCAGTTCAGAGCGCCAGGGACGCCACCTGTCTTCGGCACCGGCATCCCAGGGATACAGCAGGGAGCCTGGCGTGGAGAAGATGCTCAGAGCCCTTTGTGAGACGCATGACGGGGAGGACGCAGCGCCGACCAAGCTGGCTGCCCTGCGCATCAGGGGAAGCCGGTCCTGTAATTTTAAGTCAAAACACAGCCTGGGCTTTAGCAAGGAGGCGCGGCTGCATCCCCAGACCTGCATCAGGTCTGGCGGAGCTCCAGAAAGAGATTAATCTGGGAAGAAAAGAGGAGTAAAACGTCCAAGTCCTGCTGAGCCTGCTGACAAGAGGAGCCGCTCTGGAGGGAGGCGGTTTGGGAGCCTGTGCACTAGGGAGAAATCCGGGCGCGGGGCTGGGGCAGACACGGAGGCGTGAGGGGCGTGAAGGAACGCGGAGACGTGGGTCCCTGTGTTCACAAGAGAGGCGCTGTGCAAACAGCTCAGCGGGGACCGCGGCCTTCCCCTGCACCCCGGAGCTCCGCCGGCGGGGTGGGGAGCGGTGTCCCCTCCGAAGACTCGGCTTTACGGGGAAGGGAACCGGGGGGCCTCGACCCCAGGGGAGGACGTCGGCCTCCCCACCCCTGGACACGCGGCTCCACTTGAAGTTGCACATCTTTCTTTCGCTTCATTTCTTTCCACGTGAGTCGAAGCAGACTGGTGTCACCAAACACGGACTTGGAGCTAAGCCCTTCTTCGACTTAAAGAGAAGCGAAAGGAGCCTTCCGTCTAAATGACTTCTGGTGAGGCTCCACGCGGGCAGCTGTACCATCCAGGGAAAACCACTTCCTAAGGCTCTACCACGTTGCAGATAAACCTGTGTGCTTTCTCAGGAAGCAAAAATGTACCGCATAAATTCTTTAAAAATCTGCCACCTCCATGGCATTCTCAGCGGGAGAGGTCTACTTCCCCAAATAAGACATCTGCCTGGACACACTCAGGGCTCCGAGATGGAACACATCCTGGGGTGAGTGTGCTGACCCCTTTAGAACAAGACCGGCAAATCTGGATATTCCATCAACCAACAGGAAAAGCAGTGAAGTGTGTATGCTGAGGTTGTGTGTGTTAGGCGCTCAGTCGTGTCCAACTCTTTGCAACTCCATGAACTGTAGCCTGCCAGGCTCCTCGGTCCACGGGATTCTCCAGGCAAGAAGATTCTTCAGCCAAGACTGCAGCAGGCATCTTGGGGCCCCACGATCACCAGTGGGGGACTAGGACCTCAGCATGGACGCAGCGGCCTCCAGGGCCATCCCTGCATGGCTCTTGGGTACCATGCAGTCATCCTTCATTACCGCTGCCTTCTCGTGTGCTGCTGCTGCGTTTTAATTCCAGCCCACACGAAGTTTTTTTTTAAATGGGTGTCTCCAAATAGTCAGACTCTCTTCATCTGCATGGTTTTACAAAAAGGCCAGTTAAGCTGGTCAATATACAGCGAGCTGAGAGCCAGCCAGCTCTCAGAGAAGTTGGAGGAAGTTGTACTTTTGTTAAAAAAAAAACCTGGTGAGATTGCTTTGGCTGAAAGGCCCAAAGTAAGACAACACAGTGCTACAGGTAGTGTGGTGGCTAAGACCCCGGTTCAAACCCCAGGTCTGGCATTTGGTAGCTGTCTGTTGGCAAAGTAATAGAGGAAAACAACAGAATGGGAAAGACTAGAGACCTCTTCAAGAAAATTAGAGATACCAAGGGAACATTTCATGCAGAGATGGGCTCAATAAAGGACAGAAATGGGATGGACCTAACAGAAGCAGAAGATATTAAGAAGAGGTGGCAAGTATACACAGAAGAACTGTACAAAAAAGATCTTCACGACCCAGATAATCACAATGGTGTGATCACTCACCTAGAGCCAGACATCCTGGAATGTGAAGTCAAACGGGCCTTAGGAAGCATCACTACGAACAAAGCTAGTGGAGGTGATAGAATTCCAGTTGAGCTATTTCAAATCCTGAAAGATGACACTGTGAAAGTGCTGCACTCAATATGCCAGCAAATATGGAAAACTCAGCAGTGGCCACAGGACTGGAAAAGGTCAGTTTTCATTCCATTTCCAAAGAAAGGCAATGCAAAGAATGCTCAAACTACCACACAATTGCACTCATCTCACATGCTAGTAATGCGGAAAAGTCTCCAAGCCAGGCTTCAGCAATACGTGAACCATGAACTTCCAGATGTTCAAGCTGGTTTTAGAAAAGGCAGAGGAAAAAAAAAGGCAGAGGAACCAGAGATCAAATTGCCTACATCCGATGGATCATCGAAAAAGAGTTCCAGAAAAAACATTTATTTCTGCTTTACTGACTATGCCAAAGCCTTTGACTGTGTGGATCACAATAAACTGGAAATTTCTGAAAGAGATGGGAATACCAGACCACCTGACCTGCCTCTTGAGAAACCTGTATGCAGGTCAGGAAGCAACAGTTAGAACTGGACATGGAACAACAGACTGGTTCCAAATGGGAAAAGGAGTACGTCAAGGCTGTATATTGTCACCCTGCTTATTTAACTTATACGCAGAGTACATCATGAGAAACGTTGGGCTGGAGGAAGCACAAGCTGGAATCAAGATTGCTGGGAGAAATATCAATAATCTCAGACATGCAGATGACACCACCCTTATGGCAGAAAGTGAAGAGGAACTAAAAAGCCTCTTGATGAAAGTGAAAGAGGAGAATGAAAAAGTTGGCTTAAAGCTCAACATTCAGAAAACTAAGATCATGGCATCTGGTCCCATCACTTCATGGCAGATAGATGGGGAAACAGTGGAAACAGTGGCTGACTTTATTTTTCTGGGTTCCAGAGTCACTACAAATGGTGATTGTGACAATGAACTTAAAAAGACGCTTACTCCTTGGAAGGAAAGTTATGACCAACCTAGACAGCATATTAAAAAGCAGAGATATTACTTTGCCAACAAAGGTCCATCTAGTCAAGGTTATGGTTTTTCCAGTAGTCATGTATGGATGTGAGAGTTGGACTGTGAAGAAACCTGAGCACTGAAGAATCGATGCTTTTGAACTGTGATGTTGGAGAAGACTCTTGAGAGTCCCTTGGACTGCGAGGAGTTCCAACCAGTCCATCCTAAAGAGATCAGTCCTGGGTGTTCATTGGAAGGAGTGATGTTGAAGCTGGAACTCCCATATTTTGGCCACCTGATGTGAAGAGCTGACTCATTTGAAAAGACCCTTGTGCTGGGAAAGATTGAGGGCAGGAACAGAAGGGGACAACAGAGGATGAGATGGTTGGATGGCATCACTGACTCAATGGACATGGGTTTGGGTGGACTCTGGCAGTTGGTGATGGACAGGGAGGCTTGGCGTGTTGCCGTTCATGGGGTCGCAAAAGAGTCGGACACGACTGAGCAGCTGAACTGAACTGACTGTCCTTAGGCGAGAGTAATCTCCAGAAGAGCTGCCCTCGCCCCCGGGGCTGGGTGAACACCCCTGGGGACCCACTCACCCGCAGTGGATGTGAGTCACTCCCGGGATCCCACTCACCCCGCGGTGGGGTGCAGGGGCCCGCTGGCCCACTCACAGCGCCCCCTGCAGGCGGCTGGTGCACACGACCGTGCCCATCCCCCCGGGCCCAGAGTCCACCCGGACTCTGGCTTTTTCTTTCCTTTTTAAATTATTTATGCATTTATCTGGCTGTGCCGGGTCTCAGCCCTGGCACGCAGGATCTCTTAGCTGTGGCAGACCCTGGCGAGTCTCTAATGCGAACCCGATGTCCTCGCAGAGGCTGCTCTTGCTAAGTGAACGGCAGACGCGTGGTTCCCCATACGCCCGGCTGCGTCCGGATTCCCGCAGAGGATCATGCTGCACAGCCCTCCTGATGCACCACCACGGAGGACACGGCCGGGCCGGGCCTGCGGGGGACGCTCTGCTCACTCCTTCCAGGCCCCCACCCGGGCTGCCGGGCGGAGGAGGATTTGGGGCTGTCCACGCCGAGCTGGATGGGACTACTCCTACCCGTGTTTTTCTGTCCTTCGGAAAACTCTGCCGAGCCAAACGCCTTCAAGGACGGCACCATTCTGTCTGTCCTTAGATGGAGGGTGGTGATGTCACCGACTCCCCAAGCTCCTGGGGAACCCCAGCCACCGCAGCTCTTCTGGGGCCGCAGCCGCATCACCCGGAGGCTGCGGCTGGAGTCCTCCCCTTCCGCCTCTCCTTTGCAGGGAGCACTCTCACAAGGCAGGGAAGTAGACCTGGCTGAACCTCAGGCTCTCTAGAATCCAAAAGCTAAATGTTCTGAGCGTCCCACGCTGTGATCCCTGAATCCCCGAAGCAGTGCTCTCACTGGGAACTGTTGGCACCATTTTATGATGAGTCTGTAGTGGTTCAGAGAGGTGCAGTAACTCTCCAAAGGTCACACAGCTAGAAAACAGCAGAGCTGAAATTGAAACACAGCCTTCTGTGACCCCACACTAATCTTCCGTCTGCTCCTTCTTGGTGGGTAAAAGGTTTCAGACTCACATTCTGGAAGGAAGGGAGGACACGAAGACAGGGGAGACGCCACACGCCTTTGGAATAGCTCAGCCCACCCCTAAGTGCCTCAGCTTTCAGACTTCACGGCATCAGGACAGAATCTGCTAGGTCAAGGCCTGATGCATGAAATCAAGTGGTCAACTAATGGAAGGACAGATTTAACTGCCATGAAAGATGCTTCGGTTTGTCTGATTAAATATATATATATATATATATATATATCTACATTAAACATACCCTGACAGGCCTATTTTTAAAAAATCAATAATGATAAATTTTGAATGGAGATCCACATGGTGAGCCTGGAAAGGGGCCCTAAACTATTCAGCCGAGACACTGGCTCTCAGACTTGCACGGGCGTTCAGGATCACCTGGGGGATGCCTTCAGACACAGGGCCCCCACCTTATCCCGGGGTTTCTGATTGGGGGGCCTGGGGAGGGCACAGGGACTGGCACTTCACACAAGCTCCTTCGTGATGCCGATTCTGCAGGTTCATGGGTCACAGTGTGAGAAGTGCATAGCGAAGACCACCACCAGTTCACTGCGGGAAACGGCCTCCCCCCACCCCCCACGCCCCCATCAGCCCCAGCCCGGCATCCGTGGGAGGGCCTCCTCACCAGCCTCACCCGCAGGCTCCCCTCACTGCTGTGCTCGGGACAGTCACAGTCTTGAAGGAACAACAAAAGGACAATTGGCCCTGGGACCACATGGGTCCCCTTAACGCAGGTGGCTTTCAGCAGTAAAAATTACAGAGCTGGTCAGTGGTTGCTTGCATCCTTGGATTCAGGTAACTTCAGATATGGGAGGCTCACTCTGAATTACACTCAGATTAACCTCCGCACTGTCCAAGGGTGGGTGGTCTGTATCTCGGACCCCGAGGCGGGAGAGCTTGCCGTGGGCGGCTCTGAGCAGAGGTCATTGGCATCACATGCAGAGGCAGGCCGCCAGGCTGGAGTATGCATAGCGTCCTGAGCGGTTCCAAGGCGAGTCTCTGAACACGACCAGCTGCTGCAGACGGAGCGGGATGGACAGGCCTTCCCAGGCCAGGGCATGAGTGGGGTGAGGGTGTGTGGCCAGCGCGGAAACCAAGAAAACCCCGACTAGCCGTCTGTGCCCGAAATACGTGCAGGAAAGGGAACGTTCTCTTTACAGCAGTGTGCGCGTGTCCAGAGTTCCACGTCAGCAGGGCTGGTGGATTTAATTCACATGTTTTAAAACCTGTCTGCATCTGCCTCCACTTTGGTAGTTTAGCTGAAGACAGATGTCTCCTGGGTTGCAGAAAGCACGTCTTACCTTCAAAGGAAGTTAATATTTGCTTTTAAAGCCACACTCACAGGTGAACAAAGAGGTTTCTTTCAAATACTGGAAAGTCCTGTTTGGAGAATTTTATCCACTTGGTTGATTAAAAGAGGACTAAATATGCCGCATCCTTGACGTCTGAATTTTGCACTGTTTTTCCTCAAACGTCAGTGCTACACAAACCACGCACGTCCTGGGTCCAGCAGTTTGATTGTTCATTTGCTGGTTCAATAGGTATTTGCTGAGTACGAACTAAAAGCCAGGGGCCGGGCATACAGCAGTGAGGACAGAAAGGGTGTGATCTCACAGAGTGAATGTCCGATTCTCCTGGCAGAGGATAAGCTATTGATCACAAATAACTAGGAACAGAGAGGAGACAGGAACAGAGAGGAGAGGAACATGGCTCTTCCCAGGGAATCGCAGAAGAGCCTGTCTTGGTCTAAAGGGAGAGGATGCTGTTCGGAGACAACACAAAGGAAGAGAGCATCCCAGGTGCAGGGACCCAAAGGCCCTGTGGCAGCGAGGAGCCCAAGAGAGCCTGCAGGCTGGGGCGCTGGGATGCAGAAGACGGGCGGGATGCAGAAGACGGGCGGGATGCAGAAGACAGGTGGGATGCAGAAGACGGGTGGGATGCAGAAGACAGGTGGGATGCAGAAGACGGGTGGGATGCAGAAGACGAGTGGGATGGGGGGGCAGGGTGCGGGGAGACCCCACAGGGCCATGTGGACCCCAGCAAAAGCTCCCACCTTTATCCTGAAAAACAGGAAGCTTTAGAAGAATTATAAGTAGCTGGATGACATGACTCCGCTTTTTTAGATCACTTTGGTTCTGAGTGGAGAACACACTTGAAAGGGAGGCCTGTCCTCAGGAGATGAGGGTAGTCCAGGCAGGTGATGATGGAGAGGGGGTTCCAGAGGGCCAAGGACCTAAAACTAGACATGCCTTCAGGACAGACTGGTGGTGGGGGAGGAGACGGAGGGCCCACGTGAGCTCCAGGGGGGCGGGAGCCTGGGGCATCGGAAGGGCCGGCGCCCTGGGTGGGGAAGGCTCAGGGGTAGGCACGGGGCGTCTAGGTCTGGGGTGCAGGAGATTCTCTAAGGAGGAGAAAGTGGGGAGATGCAGAGCTCCCAAAGAGGCAGTGCGTGGGGCAGAGAGAGAATAAGGCGCTTCCCGGGCTGGAAGGCGAGGCCGGTGTGAGGGCGCCCGGCGTCTCCCGGGAGCTGAACAGCGAACCCTGGGCTTAGGAGCGGGCCCGGGGGCCGGGGCCGGTACAGGCCGCCCTCCGGGGGCCGACCCGCGTCACAGCGAGGGCAGTGCCCACTGCCTGCCACCCCCGCGAGGCGCAGGGCTGAGCGAGCCTCCTTGAGGACGCGGGCCTTGAGGCGCGGGGTGCGGTGGACGCTTCTCCGGACCTGGCAGGGCCGGCGCCGCCCTCCGGACCCTCCCTGCCGAACGTTCACAGCGGCCCGGCGCCCCGTCCTGAACCCCGCCGCCCAGGTTCCACCCGCCCTTCCCTCGGTGACGGTCCAGCGCGCACCAGAACTGGCCCCAGGCCGCCCTCAGGGTCCCTCCCACCACGCGCACAGCCCCCCGACGTGCTGCCTGCGGAGGGGCGGCCCCAACCTGTTCACGGCCTGGCCCGCCTGCCCGGGGCCCCGGGCCCCAGCACGCGAGGAGGCCCGGTGGTGGTGCCCGGGGAAGGGTGGGGGCGTTCAGCCGGCTCTGCCCCACGGCGCAGCCGTGTCCATCACAGGGACAGACTCGCTCCCGAGGGGCGCCGCCCTGCACCCACACCAGCCACGGCCACTCAGCTCTACGGCGCGAGCCCTTTGGGGAAGGCGTTCTGGCATGTTCTCTCTGCCAGGATCTCCAAACTTCCGACGGCTGGAGGGATGGGGGCCAGGCCGGAGCTCTGGCCAGCTCGCATGGTGACAAAGACAGAGGAGCCGGGCGTGGGCCCCCCGCCCAGGCTGCAGCCGCCTCCCCGCGCCCCCTGACTTAAGCCTCGGGAAGGCGAACCCTGCCCGCCCAAGCATCCTCGCAGGACGCGGCCGACCACGCAGACCCCAGCGCCCCCACCTGCAGGTGACATGGCTCATTTTTGCCGAGGGGGGCTCAGGGGTCCGCCCGGGTTCCGCGGAGCTAGGCCCAGGGGGGCGGCAAGGTCGCTCACCTTCGATTCCTTCTTCTTGACCTTCTGAGGTAGACAAGGCCTCTGGAGAAAGACGACCTGCTTGGTGGACACGGTCCCCTCCCTGCAACACACACACGGGAGGCGAGGATGAGTCTGTTACACCCGGGGGCCCGGACCTCACACAGAGGCTGCCACCTCCAACTTCATCCAGGCCAGCCGCCCAGGGAGGGAAGGGGGCTGCCCCAGAGGGACAGGTCAGAGGTCATGAAGCCCCCCAACAGCATGCACCTTTGCTTCTTGGGGGCTGTCTCGTGGGCCCAACAGAAGCGGGCACCCCTGAAAGACAGTTTTGTGTCAGAAAACCCCCCTTCCCATGGTATGAAATGACAGCTGGCATCTTGGCCAAATGACGACAAAGTGGCCTCGTGAACACCACACCGGGGTTGGGAGGGGGGGAGGGGGGGGAGGGGTGGGGGGGTGGGGGACTCTTCCAAGTCTGTCTTTGGGGATGAGGCTGGGGGGGGGGGTGGCCTGTTTGGCCCGGGATGGGTGGCCAGTGAAGACCTGGGCCCAGGCTGAGGCTCCTGCTGGCTGTGTGTCTTCGGGTTTGTGATGGAGCCTCCCTGAGCCTCAGTTTCTTCATCTATAAAATGGGCACGATATCTGTGCCTACCAAACTACAGGTAGTTAGGAGGACTAGTTTGACAGCTAGCCCAGAAGACGGAGAGAAGGCCTTTGAGGGTTGGTAAGACTGGGATAAATCCCCAAAACAACGAACAATCCCACCTCCTGAGATGCTCTGAGGACTCAATGAGACTGTACATCTAGATAAGACTGTGCCCAGCCCAGAGCACACACTAGGTGCTAAGTTTCTCTTGCAAAAGAGAGGTCTGGGCCCCCTCTGCCCCGAGACAGGCTGGGCTGCCCATGTGGGGAGGGGGTGCTCGGGGCAGGGGTGGTTAAGAATCTGAAATGCTGGGCCTGCCCTTCCTCAGGTGGAGAGCTGATGCCATAGGATTCCACGAGTCACGCACACGAAGAGCTAGTCGGAATGATGCAAGCGTTCAGTAACGCTGGTTATCGGTACCTGGTCGTCCTGACAACGGGAGTCGGCAGCACACAGGTGAGCTGCCAGCCGTAGGCGGCCAGTGAGTTCAGCAGGGGCACATAGTCCGTCTGCACCTCCGCACCCTGGGGAGAAAGGCCAGGTCAGGGCTGGGGCCGCCTCCGCTGACCGCGGCTCAGGGACGGGAGGGACCACCCGGCCACCTGCCCAATAGAGCGGAAGGGGGCCCGCGCTCCGGAGCAAAGATGCTGCAAGAGCCTGGGCCCAACAGCCAGCATGGGTTCTCCCCCGGCCCGGGTCTGTGCCATCGGGGGTCTCCCCCAGCCCCGTCTCCCCCCACCCACCCCCCGTCCAGGTCTGCGCCATCGGGGGTCTCCCTCCGCCCAGGTCTGCGCCGTCGTGGGGTCTCCCTCTCGCCCGGGTCTGTGCCATTTGAGCCGAGGGGTTAACGCGTTTGTTTTCCTCTCATTTGGACAAATCGCCTCCTCCATGAGAGTCACTGAAGCACAGTCACTTTGCCTCCAGGCCAGACCCAGGGCCCGTGACCACGCGCTGCTCAGGTGGGTTCAGAGCGTCTTGTGGGAGTTAAAGTACATCTGGGCAAACATTGAGTCACTGCATCCAACCAGCGCGGTCACACACCCACACTCACACGTGGGCACACAGGCGGGGAACTTCACCGCGTCACACATCCTGCCCTAAAGGTGTAGATGAAACCTGTTTCACTTCCAGTCAGGGAGGGAGGAGAGGAGGGGACTGACGCTTGTCTTTCAATTTAAAACCCAGTCCTGCTCCCACAGGGAGAGGACCCCACCGTGACGCCCCCGCCTGGGACTCCCCACCCCTGACCCTGTACCCTGCTTTCTCAAGAGGCAGGCCGACTTCCGGGGGCAGCCCCACCCGGCCCTGCACCCTGCAGGCGTCCAGAGTCCCTGCGGCCGGGACAACCGCAGGACCCGCTCAGGAGGACCGCAGGCTGGCGGAGGGGCGGACGGGAGCGGTCAGCCCTGCCGCTGGGTTCCCGTCCCGCAGACGCCAGGACGCGTGCACGCGCGCGCACACACACACATCCCCGAACACAAGACGGCCCACTGGCAGGGCCAGGAGGCTGGCCGGTCAGCGCAAAGGGGCCGGGGCCATCGTGGTGAGGGCGGGCTGCCTGGGGCTTGGGGGCTGGGGGACGCGGGCAGGCAGAGCCGGGAGGGGCTTCCTGGGGGGACCCCAGCACGAGCAACGCAGCCAGCACCAGGCAGTGGGCTGGCCTGCAGCGAGGGGGCCTCTGGGGACAGAACCGGGGGCTCAGAGAAAGAAGCGGGGGGGCAGCCCTGCTTCCCCAGGGGCCTCTAGAGCTCCCGTCGCAGGCACCTGTCCCAGCGCGGCCACTGCAGCCAGCGTCCCAGGGAGCCCCCGCTGCACACAGGACGTCGTGGCTCATGCCAGCGGCTCTCCCAGCGCGGTCCATGAGCAGCCTCCCCCTGGAACCTGTTGCAGACAGTCTCGGGATCCACCCAGACCTGCACATCAGAAACTCTGGGGGTGGGCCCAGGGGGCTGCTTTTTCCTTCTTTTCTTAATGAAAGTGCTGCATGGGACCAGGACATGCCCAGCAGTCTAGTGGTTCAGACCCCGCACGTATCCCTGGTCAGGGAGCCAAAATCTCACATGCCGCGTGCTGGTGCGGCCAAAGGAAATTACAGCAGGGCTGCTGACTCACAGTGTTGTTTTCAGGCGCACACCACGGCGATCCAGTATTTTCACAGATTGTGTTCCACGTAAGCCGTGCCCGGCGCACGCGTGCTCGGTCGCGTCTGGCTCTTCGCCACCCCACTGGCTGCAGTGGGGTGTTCATGGGATTTCCCAGCAAGAATACTGGACTGGGGTGCCATTTCCTCCTCCAGAGGGTCTTCCTGACCCAGGGATTGAACCTGTGCCTCTGGCTTCGGCAGCTGGATTCGTTACAGCTGAGTCACTGGGGAAACTCCGTATAAAGTGATCCTAAAACGCATATTCCGTGTGCTGCACATTACACCCCTGCATCTTGCTCATTTTATACATGGTAGGTTGTACCTCTTGACCCCCTCTACCTGCCTTGCCCCCCCTTAATTCTCTCCACTGGTGAGCACTAGCGTGTCCTCTATGTCTGGGAGGCTCTTTCTTCTTTGCTACATTCATTCATTTTATTTCTTAGACTTCACATGTAACTGGAATCATAAAGCATCTCTTTCTCTGCCTTACTTCACTGATAAGCGTAATACTTCCTAGGTCCATCCGTGTTGCTGCAAATGATATTATTTCATCCTTTTCTATGGCTGAGTAATATTCCACTGTGTGTATAGACATATAGTGCGTATGTGTGTGTACACAAATACATCACTCTTTTTAATCCATTTATCTATTGACTTGGGTTTCTTCTGTATTTTAGCAATTGTAAATGTTGCTGTTATGAACACTGAGGTACATGTATCTTTTCTAATTAGCATTTTCATTTCCTTTGGAAACACACCCAGGAGTGAATCATATGGCAGCTCTATTTTTTTTTTTTTAAGAACACTTCTAATAGTAGAGATGCAACTTAGTCTGAAGAAGACTGCCTGGAGAATCAATTAGGTTTCTTCTGATGACAGAAAAGAGTCTGCATTTGTGGCCAGAATCTGTCTGCTGTTAGCTCGAAGCTAAGCCCTCCCCTCATTCTCCACGAGGGGAGGAGAGGTCAGGGGGCTCTGAAAGGCTCAGCCCTGCACTGACATGGTGCGGGGGCAGCTGGATGGGGGAGGGAGGGAGGGCAGTATAAAAACCAACCACGGAGGGGATGGGAAGGCCCGTTCTGGCCCCGACCCTGAAGCCCCCACGCAGGCCCCACCCCGTTTCTGCCCCACCCCGGGGCACATGGGGGCCCTCCCTGCCAGGCCCGCCTGGCCAGTACATCCCCGGTGCTGGGCAGGACCCTCCCCGCCTGATGGGGCCGCTTTACCCTGAGAAGCCGGGCCCCCATCCCTGCATCCCGGATTGAAGGAGAAAGAAGAAAATGTGAAATCCCCACACTCGGGCTTTGAGAGGTTGTGATTACTCGGGTCTATCAAGAATAGCCTTCCCACTTTATCAAGGGCCGTGACAGGCCCGCCACAATCAAGACAGTCGCCATGGCAACCAGGACCAGGACCAGCGGTGCTCACAAAGCCCGAGCGGCAGGATGGAGTCCTTTCATTGGCGCTGGGCCGGGTTCTCTCCTCCGCGCCCAGCGCGGCCGGACAATGGGCACCCCGGGGGCAGCCTGGCCCACCTGCCCAGACGGGGCTCCCGAGCTGCTTGGGATTTGCTCTGTGCTCTTCTCCCCCTTGTCATCTTCAAGAGGAAGACGGCAGGATTCCTCCCCAGCAGCTTTCCCCCTCAAGGTGGGGGATGCCAGCCAGAGGGCCTAGAACCATAAAGACCAAAAGGAAAACAAAAAACACAGCAAAACATGGCCCTGCTGAGGCAGCCGAGGGTTCCGTCCCGGGTGCTGCCAGCCGGCGGTCACAGGACGGGTGGAAAAGGGAAATACGAACGGTCCGGGGGTGAGGGGGCTCACTCTGCCAGTCTCTGCCACGCCCAGCCCTCTGGGCTGGCATTGATTTAATTAACGGTTCATGCGGTTTTCCACAGGCACCTGTATCAAAGTCGGTTTGCATATTATCAATAGTCAGAAGATGACATTTCTAAAAACACGACACGGGCCCCATGCAGTCAGCGGAAGCGGCTTTCAAGTCCGTGCGCTAGGAAAGGGGGTCGGGCAGGCGTCGGATGGAAGGCTCTCTCTGATCTGCTTTTCCGTGATACTCCAGTGAGGAGAGACGCACGCGCAGCACTCCAAAGCCAGCCCGCTGATCAAACGGAAAGACATTGCTGGGATCAGGAGCAAAAACTGTAATTAACTCCCCACTCTCCTGTGTGGGTGCGGCATCTCCGATCACACCTGGAGTGTTAAAAAAAACGGGGCATATCCTGCGGTTCTTCAACTTGCACAAAAGGGGTTCGTTCGTATTTATGGCTCTTTTTCCTTTGTTCCCAAGGATGCCTCTGGTGGCGGTGAATCCACTAAAGAAAGGGACATCCAATGCAACCTTCCTTTGCCCTCCAAAACCAGGACAACATGCGCAGGGTTTACTAACAAACACTTGTGTCTTCTGATCCTTCCCAAGATCCCCTGCAGCAGGGAATATTAGGAGGGAACGCCTTGGCCCAGTGAGAAAGCTTCTATACTGGTATCATCACCACACACCTCTCTTTTTCTTCTTGTGTCCGTTCTAGAAGGACCTGGGACAAAAGCAGCTTAAAAGACGACACTTTGCTCCTGACTCGGGACTGGAGATGAAGAATGGAATTCAGTTTCCATGTCTGAAAAGTACGCAGGACCTCTGGGCTGGTCTCCTAGCAGCCTTGGGGGGGTCCTTCCCCTCCATTCCCCAAGAGGACACGTGAAGTAACAGCCTGGGTGAGGCTTTTGTAAATGGCTGCCAAAGCACTAATGCCCAACACTAATTGGCAATGCACATTTATATACGATTTCCATATGTGTCAACTTTAGGCATCTTGATTTCCTACCATGGGACATGAAGGCTTAGTGTTCCCATTCACATTTCTTACTTTCTCTTTCTTGGTGCCCCCAATGGTGATAATGTAATTAAATCAAAAGTCTGTGTCACTACAGCATTGCAAATATTGCTCGGTCAAGTAATGAAGTGTGACACCTTTTTAAAAAATATAGTCCTTTATTTTTCCTGCGGCCTCAATTCTTTTCACCTGTCTGGTCATATAGGAACTCACCGCTAAAATTCACTCCACATGTTCCAACACCTCTTCTTCGTACCCATCAGTAAATATCCCGTGTGCCTAAATATTAATATATTAGTTCAGGGAGGCCTGGCGTGCTGCAGTCCATGGGGTTGCAAAGAGTCGGACACGACTGAACTGAACTGAACTGAACTGAACTGAACTGAGAGCATCAATTCCTAAGCAGGTTGATAAGAAGTCCAGGGTCCCCAAGAAGGAGAGAGGGGTCTGGGGCTTCTGAGGAGGAGAAAGGGGTCTGGAATTCTCAAGGAGGAGGAAAAGACAAACATATGCATTTTATTTTTTTCTCTGCATTC